AAAATATGCATAGGGGAAGGAGTGCACAGCAAAAGGCTATGACTGAGATGTGAATATCAAACTTTGTTCCTCCCACCAATGTAACCAATGACAAACTGACAGGGTAAGGGGGCCTAATAATCCCAACTGTTTCCCTAATGTGTAAACTCTTTTCTGAAATGCCCTTAGAATAGAAAAGGAATTTGCAGAAAAAGCAGCGAACTGTAGAAAAGGAAAACAGCCAAATGCAACTTTATAAAACTGCATGCAACAACTCCTGGACTTTAAAGATGAGCTCCTTAATTCTCAAGTTGAAACCTGCAAAATGTAAATCAGGCCTTTGTGAGACCAACTAAAACAGTGTCCCCTCAGGGTGCACAAATACCACGGTGAAGTCACCAAAGTGAGCTATTCCCTGACATAGTCAGAATCTACCATGCAAAGGTCTTCCTGGGGGGAAAAAACTGCTATTTGTTCCAAGTTATATACATACTCATTAGAAGACCAAACAAAATAAAAGACAATATCCCTATATATCAATTTTTTTTTTTTTTTTGAGAAAGTGTCTCAAGCTGTTGCCCTGGGTAGAGTGCTGAGGCATCATAGCTCACAGCAACCTCCAACTCGGGCTCAAGCAATCCTCTTGCCTCAGTTTTTCTATTTTTTAGTAGAAACAGGGTCTCACTCTTTCTCAGGCTGGTCTCGAACTCATTAACTCAAGCAATCCAGTCTCAGCCTCTCAAAGTGCTAGGATTACAGACATGAGCCACCACACCCAGCCTATATCAATTATTTAGATTTATACAGATAAAAAGAATATTCAGATACAGGTTTAAAAGATTCATTTAATCACTACGTATTTGTTCCTAAAGTTTATGAGGAGCTTAGAAACTAATCTGATCTTAGGGTTAATTTTAAGAGTGCATAAACTTTGACTGCATTGATTGTATAAGCATTCTTTTCCGTTAATTATTTTTAGAAAGAGGGAAAGCTACCTTCTCCAAGATCAAGACCCTGCCTGCCAAATTTCCATCCACGATGATTATCAAATTAAAGAGGCCCTTTAATAAAAGGCAAATCCTCAGCTACAATCGTACTATCAACTACTCCACTGATAATGCTCAAATTTATTATGACTTATTATAATACATAAAAGCCAAACTTTTCAAGAGCAACTGAATAATCCATACAGAAGGTAGGAGAGAAGATCCAGAAGTTAAAGACAAAATAGGACTTCCTTTTAGAAAAGAGTGCCTGGCTGAGATTTCTCTCCACAATAAACAGAAAGCACAATTCTGGTTCCCCCAGTAACTTTAACATTTTGTACCTAAGGATACATAGCACCCACCACCCTGGATCACTGGGTAGGGCACTTAGGCCTTGGCTGCTTTCAGAAACAATGCTAATTTTTCTGGCTTTTGTAAGGCAAGAGATGATACTCATACAATGATCTAATTTGTACTTGCCATCTGTTAAAATATGTCTCAGCTCCCCCCAAAAGTACCAGTTTTATAATTTTATATACACATGTGTATGTATGAAAAAGTTTTGAACAGTTAAATATGAAATTGTGAATGGTAGTGTAAAGGGCATGGAGCTGAGCACCTAAAGAGATCACTTGTGATTAAACTTAGTATTTGAATCTAACATGTTTCATTCTTATAATTTTAAAATGGCACTTATGATCAGTGCCAAAACATGACTGTTTCTTGTAACTACTTATGTGTAATCTAACTTTGCTTATTTTAAAGTTTACTGTGAAGTGCAACATCAAAAGGAAAACTAGAAAAGTGGTGGCTAGCCCTAGTTTTTTCACACTGCTCATTTCCAGTTTCACATGCTCTGTAAGGGCAAGCACAATATGCATCACTTGTTGAAGGGTATGTGAAATTTGAACTGGATGGGAGATTTAATAGATGCACAAAACAGTCATGGTACTTGAATTCATGGGAAAGAGTTAGCTTCAGCCCATGCAGTAACTAGAGTTAAAGAGTGAATATGATGAACATCACAACACACAGTAACATACAAAGCATGGCCTACTTGTCATAAATTGTTGATCATAACATACATGTAACATAAATATTTGTCACTAACAACAGGTGTGGGGAGAGAAAGAAACACTAACCCCTCTACCCACAAATCCCCTCCCTCCTTCCCACTTCCTCTGTCACACACAATTTCCTCCAAGACAACATTTCTGATCCATGAACAAGTACAATAAATTCTAGTCAAGTTTTTGTAAAGTGTCTAAGTAAAAAGTTTATTTTTTATTTTGAGACAGTCTCACTCTGTTACCCCAGGCTAGAGTGTCATGGCATCATAGTTCACAGCAACCTCAAACTCCAGGGCTCAACCAATCCCCTTGCCTCAGCTTCCCAGTAGCAGAGACTACAAGTATGAGCCACCATCCGCTGGCTAGTTTTTCTATTTTTAGTAAAGGATCTCACTCCTGCTCAAGCTGGTCCAGAACTCCTGAACTCAAGCAATCCACCAGCCTCAGCTTCCCAGAGTGCCAGGATTACAAGCGTGAGTCATCGCACCCAACCTAACTAAAAAGTTTAAATTTAAAGTACATATTTTTACAGTCATAATACTTGTATGAAAATGTCTGAAACTTATAAGTTTCAGACCCATTTTTAAATTTCACTCAGCAAGAACATAACCAAAAACTGAGAATTTTTCAGCAAAAACAAGTGCAACCAAATAACATTTTTAGAGGAAATCATGTTAGAATCCTAACAAGGTGAACTCTAAGATCTCTTTTGACCTTCTGATCAACCAGACCCAAACCTCCCAGCAGGAGCAACATAATTTGACTAATACTGACTTACTTTTACTACATTATCTTTGCAACAGAGAACTGAGTAATCTACCTCTGCAATCACCTTAAATAACCTTTAACTACATAGTCCCTATGACAGAAAACTGAAAGCCAAGATTGACAATCCTACCTTTATCTAAATAAGAGATTATTTTTAGAAATTTTCAATTGAATCTCAAGCACTCTGAGATATAAGACAATGTCTTCTCTTGGAAAATCTTAAAATTTGAAAAAAAAATTGAAAATAAGACATCCAGAGTTTTCAGACCTGAACACAGAAACTTTTTTAACACATCAAAATTTAAACCAAAATACCTGGATATATATTTCAGAAATAATTTTTGCCAACTTAAAAAATATAACACTTAGGAGAAGATAGTTTAAGAGAACCTCCACAGATCTTAGGAAACGGTGGGTCTCTTACAATGTCCTTATGATAAACTTACCTGTTCCAAGACACTACCACTTCCACACATTTCCAAAACCTTTCAAAAACTGGACTCCATACAGTTTTCTATCTCAACCTCTTAAAAACAGGGGTCTCAGAGTTTTATGAATTTACTTTCAAAAACTTCCATCTGCCTAAGGACTTATTTGCAAATAAAATGGAATTTACTAAAAAAGTGCTAAATACCATGGTTTTTCTAAAATGTATTCTACACATAGTAATTTAATTTCACTTTTCAAAGCATTTTATGTAAGTCATATTCCAGAATCTTGATACTTTCATAAAGTTTAGTGTACCCGAGAGCAGTAGAATAAAAAATACAAAACCAGGATCAAAAGAATGATGTGCCTACAAAATGTTCCTTTCAAACATCCCCAAATAATGTTATTAGCCTTATAGAATTACCCTCTTTGACAGAAGAATAGCCTGGGGCAGTCTGTTCACTCTGGCAGTTCCTTATTACCAGCTACTGGTAAAATCAAGTCTCCTGGTGCAATGGGGAGGGAAGCCAAATGAATCAAATGTCATTTTCTCACACATAGGTTACTCTGTTAAAAACTTCTGCTTACTGGCTCGGCGCCTATAGCTCAACCGGCTAAGGCGCCAGCCACGTACACCTAAGGTGGCGGGTTCGAATCCCCAGCCCGGACCCGCCAAACAACAATGACGGCTGCAACCAAAAAATAGCCGTGCGTTGTGGCGGGCGCCTGTGGTCCCAGCTACTTGGGAGGCAGAGGCAGGAGACTCGCTTGAGCCCAGGAGTTGGAGGTTGCTGTGAGCTGTAATGCCACGGCACTCTACCCAGGGGGACAGCTTGAGGCTCTGTCTCAAAAAAAAAAAAAAAAAAAAAAACTTCTGCTTACTTATATTCATATATCTCAAAGATGAAGAACTTACCTAGATCAAACATTATTTCTGATACTTTCAGATACATGTCCATCCTCATCATCCACCTTGCCACTAAGTTCTCTATTTCTTTCTCCTGATTTCTAAAAGATTACGTGTACATTTCTACACTTACTTTGCATCAAAGCAAAAGGGAAGACAGTAAAAGAGAGCCACGGACAAAACTGTCCCCAGCAATTACAGTGAGTGCACTTTCTTTTGTTTTCTCTGTACCAGGATTGGCAGTGAAATAGCTATGTGGCACTTAATTAAGGCTGAACAGCTCTAAGGAACAATAAATTGAAAAGTGAATTTCTTTTATTTGCACCTAGGCCATACAGACGGTACAGGCATTTGCTCCCCTCAAACTCCATTAACACAACAGAGCAAACAGCAGTCACTCTCAATCCGGGAGAAAAAGACATCTGAACACTGTAAAGGCAAACGTATTTAAGGTGGACCTTCTGGTTCCTGATCCAACAATGTGTTGTGAGAACCAGGTTAGGAGAAAAATAAGGATGGAAGTTCCTCGTTAACGCTTCAGGGAAAGGGGGGCCAAAATTCTAGAAGAATTTTGAATTCTTCAGTAGAAATGGCGAAAAATCAGGCAGCGAGAATCCCGTTAAGTTACAAAGAACAGGAAAGCAAACAGAGGTGCTGGCAGAGCATCCTGGCCCTCATGGGATGTTAAAAACCAGATCTATTTAAAAGTTGGAGAAAGGAATTTCTGTGTGGCCCATGACCAGGAGCAGATAGGGTTAGCATGTAGCTGTTTGGGCCCTTCGGGCTGGACCAAAGGATGAATTAGTCCGGGATGTGTACTGCCTGTGAGCAGTAGTAGGGGACAGGGCTGTCACCGCTTACCCAGGTGCAGCGTGAGGTTGATGGAGTTGGGGTACTGCACCCCGGCCAGCATGGTCTGGCTTTGCCACCAGGTGGTGTCCGCTTGGTTGTTGTAGTCGGTCAGGAACGCAGCCCCGTGCTGCAGGTGGGGCTGCCCGGCGTCGCACTGGTGACAAGACTTGGTGACCCCGGTCACCCCGGTCTGCACACAGTACTCCTCAGGCGGAGTCCCACAAGTGTTGGTGGCCACCACGGTCACGTTGAAGGCGGCGTTGACGAACTCGGGCATGCAGCGCTGCGGCCGTCCGCCCTCGTCCGTGCACTCGTCCATGGCTGCCCAGGCACAGGTCGCCGCGGCGGCCGCCAGAACGACCAGCACTGGCCAGAGGTGCCCTCGGAGCCGCAGGGCCGGCGCGGCTCGCTGGCTGCCCCTCATCCCGCGGCCCGCGCGCTGGGCCACTGCGAAGGCAAGGGCGCCGGCGCGTTCCTCTCGCCGAGAGGCGTCCTCAGGAGGCCGCTCCGCGGGCTGAGCCTGGGGGCCCCGGGGCCGGACTATCCGGGCGGGCGGTGGCGGTGGCGGTGGCGGTGGCTCGCGCCGGACAGACTAGCGGGTGGGCGCCCCTAGCGAGAACCGAGCGGCTAGCCGAGCAGTGCCCCTGAGCGCCGCCTCCGCGCCTCCCTCACCCACTCAGGACACAGCCCGCACTCTGCACCGACCCCCGACTTCCTCGCGCGTGCCCGAGAGCGCGCCCCCGGGGAGGAAGAAGCAGGGGGTGGGTCAGCAGGGTGGGGTCTGGGAAAAGGAGAAAACCCAACCCCAGCCTCAGCAGCTCCCGCGGCTCCGGTAAATTCTCCCCCACCCTCCGAGCCCCACGGACTGCGCGTCCGCCCTGGCGACTGGAGGCAAAGGCGGGGGCGGGAGCGGCGGCGGCGTCTCGCGCTCGGGCCCGCGGCGCGCGACTGGCGGGGGAGGGGCGCGAGAGGTGGGCGGGGAAGGGGGCAAGGGGAGGGGGAGGGGCGGCGGGGCGGTGCATGCCGGGAGGGAAGGGAGGCTTCGGAACCCCGGCGCCCCGAGTGGGTAAGAGTCGGGGTCCTCGGGCTCCAGGTCCCGGGAGGACTCTGAAGTGGGGGAGGGGGCAACGGAGAGAGACTTAAGCGGGCGACGCCGGGCCATTGAGGTCGCTCGGGGTTGGGCCTCTAGTCAGTTTGGGCAGCGATAGGAGGGTGTCCGCTGGTCCGGTGTCAGTCCTCGCGGGCAGCGCAGCAGCCACCCGGGGCCCGGGACTTGAGGGACCCGGCGATGAGAGCTGCCCGGGGTGGGGGGGCCGTGGCCCTCCACCGCCCTGGGAACGCCCCCTGCTGTGCGGGACCCGCTCCAAGCGCTTCCGAGGAGAGGTCCGGGGCGACGAGGGGAGGAGGAGCTGACACGGTCCCTGGAGAATAAAGGGCCTGATTGCAGCATCAGAATGAATTTTGTGAAGCGATTCCCTGCCTCTTAATTGAAGTGTAACTGGTCGTTTAACCGGAGAAGGAAGGAAGTAAAAAGGCTGGGAATGGAATGACATTTTTCCCCTGGGTACGCAGACCCGCTGCGAAATTATTCCACTGTGTTGTTTGTGTTCTCCAGCTTGCCTTTAAAAGACTCGAAATTATCTGGATTCTGACATCTTCCTTTTCGGGCCTGCTGAGTCACGGAATATTCTCGGTGCCAGAATGACTCAGTTCACAGAACCCGAGCCAGAAGATCATGAGTTTTAGTCCCCGATCAGAACCTGGGCACTTACCCAGTGCTGATACGGCAGGCAAAGACCAGGCAGGCAAGGTGCTATAAAAGTGTACCCGCCCCAAAACTGCGGTTTTTAAACCTTTGGGTCCCCCAAGTCAAGAGGGTGCACAAAGCGGATGGGACATGATACGGATTTGCGTTTTGTTTCTAACTTTTCAAGTCCCTAATGATAAAATGAGAATAATAAAATGCATGGCAGATGCAAAACACCACACACTTTATTGGTTCAGTACTTCCAGTGAGATAGAGTAGTGGGAATCTGAATTAATGAAATAAGTAAATGTTAGGGGACTATGGCTAGGGTCAGTGTTAGCCCCAGGGCCTCAAGGGTAATGGTTGAGTGAAGAAGGGTTATCTTGGGATCTGTTAACGTTGCTGAGCTTCTTTAGCAAGCACAGGGATCACCGCTGGTTTATTGGATGAGATTGGTGGAGATTATGCATGGCTTAAAATCTCTAACCCTTCTCATTGTTGGCACCTTCCCTTTAGAAGTATCAAGTTATGGAGATTATAATAAGGTTCTAATGCTTTCATATTTGAGGTGAAGCAAAATAAATATATTCATTTATACTTAGGGTGAGACTGTCTCTCAGTCCTTCATTGTATTTGAGAACAGTGAAAGCGTATAGGATAAAGATAAGGCGTATCTGTAACTTTATTTATAATAAATAGTATATTTCTGTTTTAATAACTGTATTAATGTATTTGCCTGATAATAACTTTTCAGTACTTTATTAGATATTGGCAAACCAAAGGGTAGGTATCTTTTTGTTTTCCATCATCAGTCAAGATGAATAAAGATAAGGAGACTCCAAAGGCTGCAAAATTAACATAAATACATGTCTTTGTCACTGCTCCCTTTTGGGTGTTCATGTCCAAGATTAACTTCAAGTTATTACTTATGTAAATTTCCCCATAATTTAATTACCCTAACCTGTTATTTCTAAAGCACATAAAGATACTTTGAATTGATATCTAACAAGGAAGTATCTATTAATATTTTGAAGAGAGGCAAAGTATAATCAGTCAATGTGCTTAATGATAAAAATGTGGCTCCATCATCATGTTATTTCTGTATAAAATGAGTTATTTTTATATGTTTAAAAGTAAAAAGGTATCAACTTTGAAAAAAATTTGCTCCACTATTTGCATCTTGATTCAAACAAACCAATGGTTAAAACAAAAGATATAATACACTTTGGGAAATCTGAGCACTTACTGGATATTTGGTGAGATCAATAAATTAAGTATTTTAGCTACAGTCAACTAAAAAGAAAGTAACGGTGTAGATAAAAAAATAAAATGAGGGTGGTGCTTGTAGCTCAGTAGGTAGGGCACCCACCAGCCACATCAAGGCTGCTGGGTTGGAACCCAATCCCAGGCCAGCTAAAACAACAATGACAACTACAACAAAAAAATAGCCTGGCCTTGTGGCAGGCGCCTGTAGTCCCAGGTACTTGGGAGGCTGAGGCAAGAGAATCACTTAAGCTCAGGAGTTAGAGGTTGCCGTGAACTGTGGCACCACAGTACTCTACCGAGGGCAACATAGTGAGACTCTGACTCAAAAATAGATAAATAAAAGGAAATGTGTGGGAGATTTTCTTTTACTGCAATTTACTATGATTTTCAAAAAATTTCAAAGCCTTTTTAACACATGTACTTAAGTCTTGGAAACACTATCATCTACTAAGCAGACATGGTGCTTAGAAGAATAATGTGAACAGATGGGAAACATTGGATTCAAGTGCCTCAAAAGATGATCCTAGCTATGGTGACTCCATGACACTCTACCCAGGGCAACAGAGACTGACTCAAAAAAAAAAAAAAAGATGATCTTAGTGCCTAGTCATTACTAGTCATTAGTACCCATGTATAGCAGAACAGCAGGTTCAGGGGATGATGTAGCTGTTTATTATACAGGCAAGAGATCTCCAAATTTTTTTAAATTCCATTTAGAACTGCAGAGAAAAGAGATTCCTCCTTATCAGGATTTATATAAATAATTTCAAAGAAAGATGCTGATTGACCTGGCTTTGGTCACCTGGCATACTCACCTCTAGGCAGGTGAATAACATAATTGCCAGCCTACCAGAAAACCATGGAGTTTGGGAAAAACGATTCAAAAGAAAGGTTGCTGTTGCCAGAAAGAGGCAGATTATACAGCAGAAAAAAACAACAGATGTCTACTACATCAGGATTTAGAATGTGTGATATAATTAGAAAAATAATTGAAAAGTGTGTATTGACCTTTCAGGATTGCAGCTTCGTCCTTTTTTTCTCTTGTAATTACTGGCGTGTTTATTTTTACATGCTTCAGTCTTTCTGGCCTCATTTCCTTGTATTCTTCCCAAACCTGAGCACCACTATCCTCCTTGCCTTATCTTTTCTATTTAAGAATGCAACTTAAAATAGTTACTACTAATAGTATAACAGTGTCAGCTTGTATTTGTGTACTATTTTACACTTTTCAAAATTACACTGAAATTTACCACCTACATCAAGGTGAAGAGGTGAAGAGAAGAAGACGCAAGGAGATTAAATAACTTCTGTGGACGAGGAGGAAGCAAAGTCAGGGCATGAGCCTGCTCTTTCTGGCTCTCTGTCCAATGCTCTTTCCTTTTCTGTCGTATAAAGGTCATGATAGGGAAGAGGGCAAAGGAAAAGCTGCCTCCCGTTTCCATGGTTTTCAGGTTATCAAATAAGCATTTAAAATGAGGTGAAAATTAATCTGATACTAGAAGAGAATGACAATATCCCTCTTCAAAGTTACAGTGACTACACATGATACTTTGTGTTAGGCTTATAGATGCTGCCTGGGTTCTTGGTACAAATCCAAGCATAACAAGATAAGATATCTCTTGTGGCTGTGCTCAGGTAAAGACAGGATTCCTCTTGTATGAGGTAAAACCCGTTTTTCCCACCCAACCCCATGCATCCAATTCTTTTTTCTTTGCAGAATTGTCTGAACTCCTGTATATTTTAAGTATTTTTAAATGTTTTAAATTGACACATAATAATTGTACATATTTATAGGGTACATAGTGCTATTCTGATACATATGATGTATACTGATAAAGGTAATTTGTATATCTACTACCTCAAACATATATCATTTCTTTGTATTAAGAACATTTAATATCCTCTCCTCTATTTGAAAATGTATAACATATTATGTATCATATAATAAGTTATTGTTAATTATAGCCTATAATGCTGTGTAGAACACTAGAACTTATTCCTCCCATCCTTATATGCTTTTTTTTTTTTTGAGACACACTCAGTGTCCCTGCATAGAGTGCTGTGGCATCATAGCTCACAGCATCCTCAAACTCTTTGGCTCAAGAGATCTTCTTGCCTCAGCCTTCCAAGTAGGTGGGACTACAGGTGCTAGCCCAGAACACCTGGCTAGTTTTTCTATTTAGTAGAGATAGGAGTCTCCCTCTTCCTCAGACTGGTCTCAAACTCCTGTGCTCAGATGATCTACCCACCTCAGCCTTCCAGAGTGCTAGGATTACAGGCAGGAGCCACCACACCTGGCCTCTTATATCCTTTATCCAATCGATCCCTCTAGCCTCCTCCTAGTTGCTCTCCCCAACCTCTAATAACTACTATTCTACTCCCTATTCCAGGGGTCCTCAAACTTTTTAAACAGGGGGTCAGTTCACTGTCCCTCAGACCATTGGAGGGCTGGACTGCAGGCCCCGGGACGAGTCGGCTGCTAAGCAGGGCAGGCAGTGGCGGCAAAAACACCTAGCGGGCCGGATAAATGTTCTCAGCGGGCCACATGTGGCCTGTGGGCCATAGTTTGAGAATGCCTGCATGACTTTTTAGCTTCCTCATGTGAACAAAAACATGCAGTATTTATCATTCTTTTCCCTCTCTTATTTGAGAGAGGGAAAAGAATGATAAATATCCTCTCT